AATACTAATATTATAATATAGAAAATATTATTAACTAATATGCACCAACGATATATAATAATGTTATATTAGATAATATTATCTAATATTTTATTATCTTACGTTATAGTAGAATTTTATAATATAATATAATTAAGATATATTATATATTATAATACCGTTGGTCTTTTTGTTTTGATGATGTGTTAACAAATAATTTATAACTAATATTGTTTGTCTGGTGTTTGTGCTTTCTTGTTTATTCTAGGCAAACAGTGTGTCGGAGGTTTATTGGATTGAGCCTACATGATCATATACATTGGAGGATGGAAAGAATACCGGAGTGAAGCTATATACAATTCAAGTCAAAAATTTAAGTTCAAGCTTCATTCATGTTTACCAAGACGAGCTTTATTGAAGATCAATCTTGGGTATAATGTTTATACTCTGTGTGTTAATGCTTAAAGCTCAAATATTATACACATACACGTTTTCGGTTTATTGCTTTCAAGTTAAATTATTTTTTATTTATAAAATAATATGTTTATAGATTAAAGACTTTTTTATACTATTTTATATCTTTTCTCAAGTCTATTAATCTATTGGAAAGTATTTCAAAACTTGTTTGGAATAAGTTTCATCAAAATCAAGTTTTGACGATTTTGTATTATTGAATAGTTTACAAAATAAATTATATTTCACAAAGGGGAAATGAAATTTCAAAAATTCTTTTTGTAACATGTTCTATTACATGTTTATAATAATTTCCCAAAAAATTATCATTTCTGGAGTTGATTTACTATACTGAATTGATTTTATAAAATCAAGTATTTCAGCAGTTTTTAGAATCTAGAATATCTATTTTAAAATATTTATTTCTCATAAATGGAAAGTGATATTTGATAAATTCTTTTCTATCATGTTTATCTATATGTCCGGAACCTTTCCTTAAAATTTCATTATTTTTGGAGTTTATTTACAATTTTTAATTGATTTTACAATACGAGATATGCAAATTTCCAGAATATGCTGGATTTTGGGGTATTTTGGTCTTTTCAGCCTATAACGGCTAGTAACAACTAGTTTTTATTTTTTTGGGTTTTTGGCTGGTTTAAGAGGCTATAAAAATCCCTCAACTTTCATTGTTTCTCATGGATGTTTATGAGAGTTTTAAAACAAGTTTACAAATATTTTAGTTTGTTTTAAATGTGTTTAAAGTTTGGTTTTCAAATGAAGAAATTTTCACAAGAGGAGAAGATTATCCTTTGGTGTTTTGGACTTCAATTTCACATCTCTCCATCTTGTTATTTAGAGAAGTTTCCCTAAACTCTTTCTAACTTTATATTTATTTGTTTGTTAATCATTTTTATTAAAGCTAGATTTATATTGAGTTTAGATTTGTTTTACTCATTGCTTACACACACAACCATTGAGCTTTAGTATTTTCATACATAGTATATTTGGGTTGTGGGGTTGTGCCTTGAGAGTGAGCTTATTTGTGTTCTCATTCATATTAGAGAACAAATTTTGTATTGAGCATTCATTGTGAGGATACATATTTATAATACACCTGTACACCGAGAGGAGTGTGTGGTGAGAGACTGGGTCGTCCCAAGAGGAGTGGCATTGGTAGTAAAGTATAGAGAGAGGTTGTAAATACGAGCACTTGAGGAAGACACGGGCTAGAGACCAACACTTAGAAGGTGTAGAGTGGGATTACAAGAGTGTTGATTGTAAAGTTTTCGGTGAGCTAAAAAACCGAGTGTGAGGTGTAAACATTTTCGGGTGAGCGTCAAAAACCCGGTGTGATAGTGGATTTCTCCCCGGGAGTGGGGAGCGGAGACATAGGACAGAAAGTCCAAACTCCATGATCATTTCTTGTGTGTTTGAGTTTGGCTAATACACTTATATTTTGTTTATCTCTATCGTCATTCTCTTATTATCTAATTTATCTACTATATTGTTTGTGTTTGTTTATTTTACCCTTTTTTTATATTGCTTATCCTTGCATATAATTGTTGCATATCTTATTTGCTAGGATAACTTGTTAATAAGTTTTAATTGACATTAAATCAGATTAGATTAGCATAAGACCCTATTCAACCCTCCCCTCCTCTAGGGTTCTTTCCTAGTGGCATTAGGGTCCAACAAATACAATTAACATATATTAGATATTTAATAAATTAATGCTTCAAAGTTATATCACTTTCTCTATGATTGTCCCTAAGTTAAGAATATGGTAGTTTTTTGAGGTTGGAACAAAAGACTTGTATAGTAGTGGGATAATTTTGGGAAAAGTGGGGATAATTGTCTCAATTTAATTATCCCAATGAATAACAACTTAAAGTGAAATCTCAATCCCATTATCCTAATGAATAATACCATAAAGTAAAATCTTAATATTTATCCTACTTACACCAAAAATACGCTAACCAATAATCCCACTTAGGTCACAATCTATTCGCCCTTGGGTCACAATCTATATTGTGATATGAACCACTTGAATATCTTAAAGTCTCTACTCATCATTAGGTTAAAAGTTTGTATTCTAACAATGTCTCCCACAGGTTGAGTACCTTTTTCATAGTCTGAAACCTAGAACTCATATAGGGGTATCAATTTTTTCCTAAAATGGACTTAAAGTTCATGATCAGTGAGATTTGAGTTTGGATTGCTCTGATATCATCTTAAAAGTCAACTCCAAAGTTATGTTGAGATTTGATGGTTACAATTTACACTCTAATATTTTGAGAGTATAGGGCTCCTCTAAATTAGCAATTAATCCAAAATATAATTCTTAAGTACATATTCTTACAGCTAGGGCAGATGTACTCCTATCTAGGGGTGCAATTGCACCCTTACATATTTATAAATTTGCATGTAAAAGTTATGCAATTCTTACATCCCCCTTCAAACATAATTTTTTTAAAATTGTACCCGAATACGCCAAGCAATCTAAAAACAAGGGGGTGGGGGGGGGGTGGGTTATGTTCTTTGAGGATTGTTGATTCGAACTCAGATTTTCTCTTGTATTTTAATTTAGATGTTATTCATTTTGGACAATAATTTAGATTTAAATTTAAGGTGTTATTGGTTTAAGATTAGGATTCAGATTTGAATTTAAGGTGTTATTGGTTTCGGACTAGAATTTGAATTTGAATTTAACGTGTTAATGGTTTAGGACTAATATTTGGATTTGAATTTAAGGTGTCATTGATTGTCTAGGATTGTTAGTAGGACTAGGATTTCAAAATCCACATTTAATTCAAACTCCATAGTTTTTAATGAAATATTTTCAAGAGAAAGTCCAAGTTAAAATTGGCGGATTGTGATCTTATTTGTGGATTTTCTTTCTCAGCTCGTGTTTACTTATTTAAATATTTAATATATTTCAAATTAGATATATTTAATTTTAATATATTCATATTTCTAAATTATTTATATATTGACGTTGAATGTTAATTAATTTTTAAAATATTTGTAATCAATTTCTATAAATTTATTTAATTCGTTTTTAAAGTGAAATATATTTAATACTATTTAATCACTTAATTTATTTAATATTTTAAATAGATATGTTTATTATATAACATTTCTTAAATATATAACTATTTTAAATATTAATATTATCTTTAACTTCAAATTTTTTATATAAAATTTTCTAATATATTTAATATTTACATATTTAAATATACAAATTAGTTTTTACATGATCGGACACTGGTTATTTTCATTCATGTACTCAAATACAAGTTACTTTCATTTATGTACTTGAACATCAGTTATCTTCTATTATGTGGTATCATGTGAACTATTTAAATGGATTACAAGATATATTTAATTTTGTTGCTACCGTCCATCAATCGAAATGAGGGTGGGGTAGTTTTTCAAATTAATTTTTTATTATTCTTGGTAATTATTATTTATCATAATAATTTAATTTAAAACTCCTAACACAAACAATCTACAAATCTAAGTTTTAATCTGAGAATCCGACTTCAGTCAATGAATCCAAAGCAAAAGTTTAAGAATCCAAATCAATAATTCAAGAATTCCACTTAAAAAATTAAAATCCAATCCAAGAGTTCGGGGCTCTAACTATAAAATCTGAGTTTATGTCTAAATCCAAGAAATGTCAGATTTATGAACAATTGTCCAGGTCCAAATTAACAATTTGGAACAAATAACACCCCCCAAAGAAATTAGTAACTAGTTGAATTAGACCATGGAAAAGTAAAAAAAAAAATCATTTAAATTTTGATAATAAAGTATATAAAAGACATTCTCATCAGTTACTATACTTTTATAATATTATATTTTTATTTTTAGATACATAGACACTTGTTGTGGGGTCGCCCATGGAATTTTTTTTGTACCCGCCACTGCTTACAGCAACTTCAGAATTTTAGCACAGCTAAAGAGAGTTTTTACTATTTAAAATAATATATATTCGTCTGAGGAAAATTCAGCAACCATACATACCAGATCAATCTTTATGTCAAGTGTTATAATCCACTCGCCAAAACATAAAACAGAGCAGCGGAGGATTAATGAAAAATAGAAAAGTCCAGCACTTTTGTATTTTAAAATGAGCTCAGCCACAAGAAGATAACTAGAGCAGTTATCAGTCTGATCACGTAAAAATGAACTCAGCCCGAAGAAGATAACTGGAGCAGTTATCAGTCTGACCACGTTCAACATTGCTATCATATGGACTTTGAAGAGGTGAGATTTGAACTAATTGATATTTTTGGGGATGGAGACAGATAGATTGAAAAGACTAATATTGCTTTCGTTCTCTCTTTATCTCTCAACCAAACTTTATATTATCTTATACAAAACACGTGTAAGAAGAAAGTTCAGAGTTAGGGTTGAAGGCTACTTTTTTTTTTTTTTGTCAATGAAAATTTTTATTCATTCAAACCAAATTTGAAAGTTATATACATCATGATTCTCACAAATTGAGAAAGCTAAAACAATTACAGAAGCTAGGGATAACATCCCACAAACAAAACAAATATCTACAAAAAGTTAATCCATTCTCTATTTTCAGGTTGTATAGAACCATTGAGAACTAAGACCAAAATGTCCACCTTAATCTCATTTACCAGCTGCTCAATCCCCTTTGATTTCTGTAAGAAAATTCTGGCATTCCTCTCATACCATATCTTGTATAAAGTTGCCGAGAAAGTCATCCTCTTGATCCCCTTCTTAAATCTCTTGCCTCTTAGACAGTTGTTGAACCAATTCAAGAGATAGCTCCAATTACATGATCTCCATCTAAATTTGAGCCAACTCATAATCCTATTCCAGATATTCTGAGAATAATCATAATCAAAGAATAAGTGATCTCGATTCTCAGGACCTGCACCAAAGCACAAACAACAGCTGTTTGATTGTATGACTCCTATCTTCATTAATATATATGTCTTGTGTCAGTAATCTATTCTGAACAGCAAGCCAACAAATGATCGAGTGCTTGGGGTAATTCATCCTCTCCTAAACTGTATTAAACCATGGAACTTGAGGAGTGGAAGGAGCTAAGGCTTCATACAGAGCTGAAATTTCGACTTTTGAATTTTTGTAGCATGAACCAATAATTTGCTTCAAGTTATCAATTCCACCAACTAAGACCAATGCTCTATCTCTAGTCTTTATCAGTTGTCTCCAAAGCCAAGAATCCCCAGATTTAGTATTTACATGCCATATATCTCTGTTCTTCAAGTATTTGCCATGTATCCACTTTATCCAAAGAAGCTCCTTGATTTACATGCCATATATCTCTGTTCTTCAAGTATTTGCCATGTATCCACTTTATCCAAAGAAGCTCCTTGTTCATATGAATATACCATATGTTCTTTAAAGCTGAAGCAAAGTTCCATAATCGAGCAAAGAAGCTCCTTGTTCATATGAATATACCATATGTTCTTTAAAGCTGAAGCAAAGTTCCATAATCGAGCAGAGAAAATGCCTAAACCACCAAATTTTTTACCACATTAAATCTTTTCCCAAGCTACTAATGAAGGTTTATGAATATGATCTACTCTACCCTATAGGAAGTCTCTGCACATATCATCTATTTTCTGAAGCACACCAACATGTAGGATGTAGCAAGATGTCCAATATATATATCTGAACACCTAAGATTACACTTTTGATGATATGTAATTACCCCGCATAAGAGAGATTTTTTGACTTGGTCCATGTCTGAATTTGATTGCTTATTTTACTAAGAAGTGGATTGCAGTCTAAGTATGAGAGTCTTTTGCATACAAGTGGCATCCCCGAATATCTGATCGGCAAGGAACCCTCAGCATAACCCAACTACTCGTTTATAGTAACTTTAGTAGCTTCATTTACCCCACCAAAGAATACATGACATTTATCTGGATTTGCACACAGACCAGAAGAAGAACTAAACTCCTGTAAGCATTGTTAAAGTTTTTGTACTGAAATCAGATCACCCTTGCTAAACAATAACAAATCACCAGCAAAGATAATATGAGTTATCTTGAGTTTTCTACACATAGGATAGAAATTGAACTGCCTATCATTTTTCAGCAAATCCAAACTTCTTGAGAGGTATTCCATACCAAGAATAAACAAATATGGAGATAGGGGATCCCCCTTTCTAATGCCTCTTTTTCCTCTAAAATACCCATGAAGAGAGCCATTGAGTGAGATAGAGTATGATGGAGAAGAGATACAGGTCATCATCCAGTCCACCATCTTGTTTGGAAAGCCCAGACCCTTTAACATATCCTTTAAAAAGCTCCAGCTGATAGTATCAAATGCTTTTTTGATATCAATGCTAAGCATTACTCTTGGGGAAACTGATTTTCTGTTGTAATTATTAATCAGCTCATGAGCAAATAAAATGTTGTTGGTAATTTGCGTACCCTTAACAAAAGCACTATGAGCATCATTTACAATAGCCCATAACTGTTCTAATCCTATTTGCCAGGAGTTTTGATATGAACTTGTAGAATACATTACAACAAGAAATGGGCCTAAATTTTGAAGGAGTAGTAGGACAATTAACTTTTGGAATAAGTGAGATTGCAGTTGAGTTAACCTTACCCAGTAGTTTGCCAGTTTTGAAGAACTCATCAACAGCTTGAGTAACTTCATCTCCAACCACACTCCAAGAAGATTTAAAAAATGCAACATTGAAACCATCTGGACCAGGAGCTTTATTATCTGACATGGAAAAAATAGCATTTTTGATATTCTTCTTTAGTAACTGAAGCAATTAAATCACTGGCTTGAGAATCATCCAAGCAAGGTCCTGAATGAATAATATTGATGTTAGGAGGAGTAGTATCTACAGCAGTCCCCATCAGACTTTTAAAATGAGTGATAAATTCATTTACAATATCATCTCCCTCCGTTAGTCTTTGTCCCAAGTTATTATAGAGAAGCATAACTCTATTATGATGCCTGTTAGATTTAATCATTGAATGAAAAAATTCTATACATCTATCACCTTGAACACTCCAATCAATTCTTGCTTTTTATTTGAAAAAAGATAACTCACAATCCTTCAAGGTGTTGTATTTTGAAATGCATTTCTTTTCCTGCTTAATTAAATCAGGAGACATAGGATCAACTTGTAAATCTTCTTGAACATCCTCCAGAGCTTGTTTTGCATGATGAACCTACTCACTTATATTATAGAAGAATTTCCTATTAATATCCTTCAGTGCAATCTTCAGATTTTTCAATTTTGAGCAAACTGAGAACATGACACACCCTTTAATCCTTTGTTGCCAGGCATTAGCAACTGTAGGGAGAAAACAATCATGCTTTGTCCACATCCTAAAAAATTCTAAAGGTCTTTTGCCTTGAGAATATTCTTCACTAACAGTAATGAGACCAAGAGAGTGATCTGAAATTTTTGGCACAAGAAATTCAACTTGACTAGAATTATAAGATTGAATCCAATTATCATTAATCAGTACTCTATCCAATCTGCTCTAGATCCTTGAACCATGATCCTACTTATTATTTCAGGTTTAAAAACACCCAATGGTTTTCAAATGAGCAAGCTGACAGTCATTTATAAAAGCTCTAAAATCCTCTGTATCAGAATCAGTGAGCATGATTCCTCCAATTTTCTCTTCATTGCTTGTAATAGCATTAAAGTCCCCACATAATAGCCAAGGAGTACTACCAATAGTTTGATGAATAGACTTCAGATCATACCATAATACTTTCCTTGCATACAGATGATTAAATCCATAGATAGAGGAAATTGCACAATCTAGTTTACCATCAAAAGATTTCACTATGCATGTTATACTTTGATCAGTACAACTAATCAATTGTATATCCAACATATTAGGATTCCATAGGATCAAAATTCTAGCTTTAATTAAACTTCTCACATTAGACATCCAGTTCCAAGTTTTAGCAATTTTCCTAGTAATTCCTGGCAATAAGATATCTTTGATCTTAGTTTCCAGTAAAGCTATAAAAGAGATGTGATATTGTCACAAATGATGCTTAACCATTTGTTGTTTTGAGGGTCTATTTAGCCCACTCACATTCCAAAATGGTAGATTCATCAAATTAGATCACCCCCTATTTCAACTACTGAGGGATCCAAATCAAAATACTCAAGTTGTGAGAAAGAATTTGTTGGAGTAATTTTTTTTCGATTATTACTTTGAACATGAGACCAAGTATTGCTAGATTGAGAGACTTGAAAATTACCTTCAGGATCAGTATGTTGTGCATGTACACCATGCACCAGACTGTGCAACCCTGAAAATTGTGGTATTCTGCATACGATCAGTATGTTGTGCATGTACACCATGCACCAGACTGTGCAACCCTGAAAATTGTGGTATTCTGCATACTTGCTCTCCTTGTACATCATGAGGATTATACCAGACTGTGCAACCCTGAAAATTGTGGTATTCTGCATACTTGCTCTCCTTGTACATCATGAGGATTATTCTTAGGAGATAATCCTTTCTCTTTATCTTGTTGCTAATTTTTTCTAGACATTCCAATTTGCTGAGAAACTTGCACAAACAAGCTTACAACTGAAGCTTTATCCTTCCCATCTGACCTTTGTGATATATTAAGCATATGCATTGAATTATTTGGGAGATCAGGAGTAGCTGTTGTCTAAACATGCACAAGAATAATAGAGGGATTAGAAACCTTCTGTGCATTCTGAACTGCAGAAACAACAGTTTTAGGAACCCATCTCTGAACTCTTGGAAATCTCTTGCAATACAAAGTATCATGCCCCACTAGCTTGTAGTGATTACATCATCTAGGTTTTAGTTCATATAAAATCTTTTGATTGAAAAATTTGCCATCAGGACCCTTTAAAGTAATACAATCTGGAAGAGGAGAGGGCATAGACACTTCCACAAGGACTCTTGCATAAGCTAATCTTTGCTTATTAGCTGTAAGTTTATCTGTGGTAATTGGACGACCAACAGCACTTGCAATTTTACTTATACTTTTAGCATTCCACAAGTTAAGCTTCAATGGTAATTGGACGACCAACAGCACTTGCAATTTTACTTATACTTTTAGCATTCCACAAGTTAAGCTTCAAAGCTGGTAGAAGAATCCAAACAACTTGCAATTTTACTTATACTTTTAGCATTCCACAAGTTAAGCTTCAAAGCTGGTAGAAGAATCCAAACAAGATATATGCCGTCATTAATTTTTTCATAATCATCACCAATTGACCAAGGCTTTAAAGAAAGCGGACGAGATCCAAAAAACCATGGGCCATTTTCTAAGATCTCACTCATCTCATCTTTGTTTTTAAATTTAAACAAGAAAATTCCAAGTTTTAGAATGAAGATATCTGGAGTGGCTAAATTAGCCCATATTTTCTTAACATAAATCTCCATTGCTTTGAACCTGACATTCAATCCAAGAACCTGACCAACCAAAGAAAATTGCCACATAGACCACATAGAAATTCCTTCTTTCCACTCCTCATCATTGAAAACCACAGTATCTTTTGTGTCAGGAGGTAAAAACTTCAACGGCAAGCCACATCCTGTTTTTCTATTATCAACAAAATAACTAACCTAGCTTTTTTTAGAAGATTTTTCTTGCAATGGAATATTATCAACTGTAGACGGTAAAAATTACCTTTGTAGATAAGATTGAAATCCGCCTGCGTATTCAAGTCGCCCGCACGACTTGAAAATCGGGCTCACCCATGTGTTTGACTCGCCAGCACAAACCAGGGCTACGTGATCATCAAATTCGTCTACACTTGGACAATCTACTAGGCGATTAGAGACTCGCCCGCAAACCTGACCCGCCAGCGTGAGTTAAGGTTACTCAAGAGATAAACTCACCTGCATACCAAGACAATCAGCCAGACGATCAACATCCTCGCCAGACTCGCCAGAGTACTCGGCGGCTACTATGTCACGTACAGGGATGGGCCTTCCCACTTCCCATGACATGAAGGGAAGGAGCACAGTACTTCGAGCCCATCAAGTAGCCACTCACAGTATGAGTGACTGGTCAAATCCATGCAATCGCCAAGTCTGCCTGCATGATTACGGCTGAGGCTCGCCTCGCCTGCACGAGTCAAGAGCCGAATTCGCCTACAAATGATAAACTCGCTAGACTCGCCAGGGTACTCGGCGGCTGCTATACCACGTACATGGATGAGTCTTTCCTACTTCCCACGACATGAAGGGAAGGAGCATAGTACTCCAAACCCATCAAGTAGCCGCTCACAGTACGAGCGACCGGTCAAATCCATGCAATCACCAAGTCCACCTGCATGCTTACGACTGAAGCTCACCTCGCCTGCACGAGTCAAGAGCTGAATCTGCCCGTGATCAACAAGCTCGCCGAGCTAGCCAGAGTACCTGGCAGCTGCAGTATCACGTACATGGATGGGCCTTTCTATTTCTCGTAACATGAGGGGGAGGAGTACGGTGCTCCAAACCCATCAAGCAGTCGCTCATGGTACAAACGAGAATCATGGTATCTCCCAACAGTACATGGTCACATCCCATAATTCAAGAGAGTGACCACGTCGTCTCTCCTCTATTTAAGAACCTCTCCTGGCTACAGGAAATGGGTTCGCTCATAGTTAATTGATTAATTCAATTAGTTAGCTGAACCACTAGCTCTCGACTCTTGACTGAGTTGACGACAAGCTCTTTGCATGACCTTTGCACTATAGCATCCTCTCCTAGCTTCGGGCCCTAATCGCAATCGAACTCGGAAACTCGAACTCGAACAGCATGAGCTTCTACTACGTACTGAAGCTCACCAGCAACCTTGATCGAATCGTCTAAGGGAAGCAGACTTGGTGCGAGAACCGAGCGAGGCGTCCTATCGCTACCAAAGTCTCCACGTTAAATAAGGAGGGCATTCCCTCCTCTTCTGTTATAATTTCAATTCATTAGTTTGTAATAAGTTATTCTTATTAATACAAACAAATATCCCATTTTAGGAAATCAAAATTTACACCTACAAAAGATGGAAACCACAGTGGGAGAAACTATTTTTTCAACCGAATGGTGGTAGCGTAGTTCGACGATGTTACTGTTGGGACAACCGTGGAGTCCCTAGAAATCAAGTTCGACCAAGCCAAGTACGAAGAGTATTTACCTTCCTCCTCCTCTGGTGACAATGCGTTCCGCAAACGCCACAAAGTCGTGCGTAGAGGCCGACCTCAAACGGTCAAAGTCTCTGTGCCTGAGGACTCTATCCGAGTCATGCCGGGGGAGCCTACTCCCTTCGAAGTGATCAAGGCTAAGCCAGAGGTCGAGAGCACGAGGCGAAAGGCTGCCAGATGGGTCGCCAAATGACCCTCGTAGCCCCCCGCTCAGGAAGAGATGGTAGTTCATCTCAGCACAGACCATGCCGTCACGATCCGCACAAACGATCCTCTCTCGAGAAGAGTCCGCCGGCGGCGACGACAGGTCCTTGCTCGACAGGAGGCCCAAACCTTCGCCTCATACGACGGTTTGAATTATTATTCAGGTTTGAAAAGCGCAAGACGGAGGAGCAACCCTCCCAACGCTGGAGGGACCGCCAAATCAGGCGAACCCTCGCGTTCAGGTGGACTTCGCTCTGATCATAATATCTCCCATTTCGGCAGGTCCGATATTTCCAACCAACTTGGACACCCAGGAAAACTAATCAAAACGGGCAAGCCTGCCCACTCAAGTGGATTTCGCTTCTCAAGTCACATCCCTGATGTAAACAGACTGCCCAGAGCGGGTGAGCCTACCTGATAATCACATTTTATTATAATTTTATACCCTCATTATCTATTTTTAATGAATAAATATACCACTAATAATTGTTTTTATCTTTAATTGCAGGTTAATGAAGAATAAAGCCAAAAAATCGCATCTCTCAACAAAAGCTTATGAATTAAATGAAGAACACAAGCAAGAGCCAAAAATCCCAAGCCCAGAATCAAGCCGAGTAGCTTGTAGAAGCCGGAGAAAATAAAAAAATTAAATATGAAAACAAAATGTATTCAAGATGGTTGGCTGCAAAGAAATGATGATATCTCTCAACCCGGAAGGCGAAATTTAACATATAATATATAGAAATCGCCTATCTCGACAAGACGAAGCCATCCGTGGAGGCAGATTTTTTTGATTGGACATCGATGCTGGCATCGATACCAGCATCGATGCTGGTATCGATACTGACGAGTCAGTTACAGATCAATGACTGATTTTTGATGGTTTTGGATAAGGATTTAATCCAAGGACTCTCATTCACTGATGTTTACTATAAATAGGGGTAGAGAGTGAGGTGTTAGGGGTATAAAAATTTTTGTAACTCCTTTTGGAGAGGAGGGTTACTCTTAATTGAGAAGGCCTTCTAAATTTGTAACTTTTTGTTATAATTAATAAAAGAATTTTTTCACCACTTTAAAATTTTCTTTTCTTCTCTTTGTTGGATGATGAAGATGAAGATGAAGATGGAGATTAATTTGAAGGTTTGTTTTTCTTATTTCTCTTTTATTACTTATTAGTTTAGATTTATTTTCATGCTTGTAATTAGATTTTATTTTCTTATTTAAATAGTCAAGAGGCTAGAACCCTCTTACCTTAGATTTATTCCATACTTATAGATTAGATTTATTTCATGCTTATAGAGTAGATTTATTTTCTTGCATTTAATTCTTGTAATTTATTTTATAGTTTAGATTTTGTAATTTATTTTATAGTTAGATTTTAATTTCTTGCACTATTTACCTTGAGGCTAGAACCCTCTTGGGTTTAGTTTTTCTTTTTGTTTATTTTTATTTTCTTTGATTCGCCTTTAGGCTAGAACCCTCTAGGAAATCACTATTTTCTAAGAAGTGGATTCAATTCTAGATTACTCATATCTTTAATTGAATCCACCATCTTTACTTTCTTGAATTTTATTTTCATTCTTGATTCTTGATTTTATTCATCTCTCCTTGTGGAAATCATTCATTCATTGTCACATCCACTCTCACTTATATTTTGTACCTATTTACACACTATCACCTTCTTAATCTCTTTACAATCACATTCACTCATCATTCCTATTTGTCACATACACAACATAAGAACTGATTTTATATTTTCTCCTACAAAACACCTTCCTCGTGGGATCGATATCTTTATACTATAACTTGATACGGTTATGCACTTGTAACATTTTTGGTACATATTTATGCCGCACCACTACCCGAGTAGGCGAGCCCTCGAAGTCAGACGAGCCTCACCGAGTCCGCTCGATGGGTAAGCTTTGTGAGCGAATGAGCCTTGACGACGAAGGAAAGACAGTAGGCGACACCTCACAAACTCACCTGCGTGAACAAAGGGTTAAGTTTTACCTGCAGGCAGAAACTCGCCCGGGCGTGAAGACTCATCTGTCAAGGAGAACTCACCTAACTTCGACATTTAGCCATTCCACCTAATGTACGCTAGATAGTTCATCCAAACTTCTCTCATGCGATCGCTCGGTTGACCCATCTGATGCTAGGGGTTATCGCCAACCGCCCGCAGAAGACCTTCGGTGTTACCTGACTCGTAAACACACCATACATGAGGCGAATCCTTAGTGTTGCTACGAAAGGCTTATCCAAACGGTACTCACTGATTGCCAGTGTATAGTAACGGCGAAACCTTCAGTGTTCGAAAGGCTTTCTCAGCGGCTTGCCCGCTTGCCCAACCGAGATCTTCTCGTCGAAGGCGTAGCCACCAAAGAAGGCACGCCCTCGATGATTTAGAACTCCCATCCGCTACGGCCAACATGACAGGGAAGGGTAAAAAGGTACTTCCAAATTCTCCAGACTTGGGCTCTTTCCTGGGGCCCAGTCACCCGCTGGTCCAATGCGAGCGTGATGGTATATTCTTGCACACCCGTAGTCGTATGGGAATTAACATCCCGTTCGATTATACACTCCTAGCGCCCCCTTCTAGTGGCGAAGAAGATGCTTATTCGGCAGCGACTACGTCCCAGACCTCGCCTTCGAGCCACGATGAGCTAGCGAGAGTGTACATGGGTGAGACCTCGAGTGATCAGACGATCGCCCAAAAGTTTGAGGAACATCAAGTTTCCATCGAGTCCATAAGAGACATGGTGGAACAGCTTCTGAACAAAAAGAAGAAAAAGAAGGTCACACGTACCCCGCGGAGGCTGGCGGGAGGCAAGGAATGGGGATCTACTCCTAACCAGACGACTGAACAGGAGGATAATGATGAACTCCTGTCGGATCATTCCTCAAAGTCGTTTGCAAGAACGTCATGCTCCGGGGGTACCACCCGAGACAAGAGATTTGACGAGTTCCAATGCTAACTCAACGCCTTAAAACTCTAGCAAAACATGAACAAGCTGGGGGTGGTCAGGCCGTACCCTATTGAGTAGGACACGGTCCCCTACCCGACGAAATTCAAACCCATCAGTTTGGTACAATTTGATGATAAGGGTTCCCCTTCACAGTACATCTACTACTTTATGGCTCAGACCGGCTTCCTCACTGGGAACGACGCCATCTTCACCCAGCTATTCATCGGCACCCTCAAAGGGTGTAGCCTTCGAATGGTTCCGCAAGTTGGAACCAGGCTTTATCAAGTCATGGGCCGATGCGGAAAGGCTCTTCCTAGCCCGCTTCTTCGATGATGATACCGAGTTGTCAATGGCCACCCTCCTAGCCGAGAAGCAAAAAAAGTCGGAGTCAGTCAACGACTTCGTGAAGAGGTTTAAGAACTGATCGGTTCATTGCCGAGATCAAGTCTCCAAAGCCACGCTAATCGAGATGTGCCACAATAATCTTTTGATCCATGAACTGTCCAAGGTTGGCATGGTGGAAACCCGAACCTGGAAAGAACTCGTTCGCCAAGGCGAACAGGTCAAGAATATGATCATGAGGCTCGAGGCCAAGGATCCCCACCCAAAAAAGAGAGCTGCCGAACCGAGCATGCCAAAGAATCCCCCTTGAGCTAGAGGAAAGGAGATCATGACCATTAATGTTGATTCCGCTCCGGTGCCCAAACCAGCCCAAAGGCCGAAACCCAGGCCGTTTGAGCAACGCCCTCCGAGGCAATACGACTTCAAGGAAAACCAAGTGGTAGAAACCCTCGACACGCTACTTAAGAACAACAGGATTAAGCTACCAAAAGTAACCAAGCCTGAAGAGGCGAACAAAACCGATGAACCGGGCTACTGCGTGTATTACAAGTTCCTCGGGCACCATACCTCCAAATGTTATATCCTCAAGGACAAGCTTCAAGCCCTGTACGATGCGGGAATTCTAAAAAAGGAGAAGGTGCAAAACCAAGTGACCACAAACATGGTTACTCTGAGTTTTGAAAGAGATCTCCCAGAGGTTCAAGCGCCGGCGGGGGTAGTTCCTATCCCTAAGGCAATACTGAAAATCACTAACGATGATCCTCACAATCAACAAGGAAAAGGTTTAGTATCCCAAACCTTACCATCAGGGCAAGTGATGTGGGTCCATCCGAACCTCCTCAGCGATGAGCAATGGACTTCAAAGCCTTCGAAGAAGACTAAGAGTAAACCTTGCAACGCTGTATCCGTCATCCTAAATGAAGGCAAAACGACAGTAGCCGCTCTTACCAACTCCGATGAGGACACTGCCACCCTAGCCACCAGAGCAGGGAGAGAATTCACCAAGAATTACCCTACCAGAGCAGAGGATCCTGCATGACCTTCCACAAGGCCGCATGCAGCGACTGTAGGGTCAAAAAATTGATGTTGGGATTAATTCTCTTGTTTTAAGAAATGGGTTCGATCACTTGGTACGAAACCCTTACAATCACTCACACTCTCTATCGATTACTGAGGAAGAGAAGATTAATTCAGCTTCTCTTTTATTTAAGATGGGTTCTAGGTGGCGAAAGGATGCTTCCCCCGATGCTTGAGTCGAGCTTGCCTCTTGTTAACGATCAGAACAAGATCACAAGAGCTTATGACGTGGGTTAGAACACGAGAATACGAACATTGATTTCTCTTCTTGTGATAGCCAAAGATCTCCAAGTCCGAGTATCAAAAACCAAAGTCCAGTCCCCTCTTAATAGTTGCTCAAGGCTATTTATAGGAGTTTGAGCATGTAACCGATGTACTACAATCGTGGAGTCATGGGCGTAACTGATACGCTAAAATTGTGGAGTCGTGGCGTTTGCCAGAAGAGGTTTGTCCACCTGATGAGGTTAGTTTGTCAGACGGGGTTTGTCCTCCTGACGAGGTTCGTTTTCCAGACGAGGTTTATCCGTCTGACGAGGTTCGTTCGCCTGACGAGGTTCCTTCACTTTGCTATATCTTTGGTGAGCTTAACTACGGCTTCATCTTTGGCAAACTTCATCTTCAATGACGAACTTCGTTTCTAGGTGAACTTCGTCTTTTGATGGGTAACGTGTTGTTTGTCCTATTGAACTGAGACAAACTTCATGAATTGAGGCTGAGGTTCGTCGTTGTGACGACCCTCGTCGTGCTTGTAGTGAAGTTCGACTCTCCTTCGTTTATTGGCACTTTTTAGTGTCTAGAAAACCCCCTTCAAAGTTTTCAGACCCAAATTGGGTTGTATGGGTCTGGAATACTTTGAACTCTCTTGGTTGTGGCGAGCTTGGCTTATACGACGAGCTTGGCCTCCTGGCGAGTTTGGCCTCTTGGCGAGTTTGGCCTCTTGGTGAGCTTTAATGCTCCGGGGTGAACTTCATCAAACTCATGTGGGACTGACAATCAAGACTTAGGATTTTTATCAAATCCTCAGCTATCAACGGACTTGACATGTCTTTACCAACCGCCGTTTGAGTTGGACTAGTCATGCTTTTGTCCTTAGCATAGTAAGTTATCGAGGAGTTTTCTTAGACTTAATGCTAAGATTTCTTCTCTATCCTTAGCCGTTCAAGGCATTAGATTAAGCGTTAGAGTTTGGTTGTGTCGTTCAGTATAACAACTCAACCTGATATTTTGAAAGCGAGGCTCATCGCATGGTAGGACTACTGGGATGATGTGGTATCGTTGATGAATATTAACTCATCGCATTGTAGGTCACTATTTAAAAACAAGGGGGGAGATAGGGGCTCATCGCTTGGTAGGCCACTATCAACGAACAACGTCATGACGTTGTGGAGGTAATCAAGTCGTTCAGTGACATGAACATATAACGACTGTGATTAAAATAGCAGCACATCACATGGTAGGCCACTATTTGCGATCATTCTAAAGAGATAGAATGTTTGGAAAAGACCAGATAGTGAATCATTGATCGAGAGACAAGTAGGTTCTCATCGCATGGTAGAACACTACTTGGCGAAAGAAATCAAGTCATTCAGTGACATGGGAGTATAACGACTATGATTGGAATAATGACACATCGCATGGTAGGTCACTATTTTCGATCATTCTAAGGAGAAAACATTCGAAAAAGACCAGATAGTGAATCATCGTATGGTATATCACTATCTTTAGACAAGTAGGTGCTCATCGCATGGTAGAACACTACTTGACGATGGTTAAGAATTAACTATCAGAGATAATCATTAACGTGATAGTTTTATAGACCCACCATTCTATTGGAGAGGATTGGTGAGCGAATTTGGAGGAAGTGACTATCAGAGGTAATCATTAATATGATAGTCTTGTGGTCCTGCTATCCTATTGAAGAGGATTGACGAGGAAATTTGAAGGCAGTGACTATCAGAGGTAATCATTAACATGATAGTTTTATGGTCCTGCCATCCTATTGAAGAGGATTGGCGAGAGAATTTGGAGGAAGTGACTATCAGAGATAATCATTAACATGATAGTTTTGTGGTAAGGGGCCAGATGCTCACGTCTGACTTCGGACTCACCTTGGAGTTGATTTATGACGAGCTTCAACCCATCATGGCTCCGCCAGAGAGAAAGCTCAAGGTAGTACATGGTTTTGCAGAGAAATCATGACTACCCCCACCAGAGAGAAAGCTCAAGGTAGTACATGGTTTTGCAGAGAAATCATGACTACCCCCACTCCAGCGATAGCTGTAAATCAGGATTGAAGGATAAATACTCCTTTGCAGAGAAATCATGACTACCCCCACTCCAGCGATAGCTGTAAATCAGGATTGAAGGATAAATACTCCTACATCCAATAAGGCTTGGATCTTATCCGTCAGGGTGTAGCATTTAGAGGTGGGATGATGAACCATCCTGTGGTACGCATAATAGTTAGGTTCATCCATTCTCGACATCTCCTTAGGTCGCATCGATTCTGGGAGCTTGATCTTTCTCGCCTTGATCATGAACTCAAAGATTGGGATGATTTGCTCATCTTGAAAGTCGTACTTCTGCTGAAAGTGGCTATCCGAAGATTTGCTCTTCTGCTTTGACGAAAATTGGTCACCATCTCCTTGAAAATCACATGGCTCAGCATCTGGCCTTTTGAGCATGCTTTCGA